TGATGTACCTGGATCCTAGACTTAACCTCCTAGGACCTGCCGTCCACATATGTGGACATCACATTTTGGGTTATTTAGACCAAAATACTCAATTTTGCTCTACATGGGCCTGATATCCACTTACGAGGACATTATACTGCTACTGTTGTATCAAAATTTTAAATGAATATCCTCATTTGTGGCTCTCATTTTTCTTAAAAACAAAAACAAGGTAAAAAAAATCTGGTAATTCTTTGTTTTTGCATTTATCGGGCCCCAATATGCCCAAATATCAAAGAGAAATTAAAAATGCATGTCGTGGAAGGGTCTTAGGAGGTTAAATACTATCGTTAGAACTACTTTAGTAATTACCAGTAAACAAGCTAGATACAAGATACTGGCATTTACTGTCTGAAGAATAATTATTTGCTTTTCTCAGTGTCTACCTAGCCTGGTTGTTATTTAACAGCACCTTACTTGTGCCAAACTGGCACCCTCAGTGTTGGCGAAAACATGGTAATGATAGTCACTTACCTGCATTATCTTGCCATCTTTTGCTCGGTACAGCGTGTACAGCTGATAGGCTTTGAAGTTGTGTGGAGGGATGGAAACATAAGGGGCGGTTCCACGCAGTTTACCTTTCTTCTTATGAATGGTTCCACAGTGCCTGGTCTCTCTGCAGTGCAGAGGGTCAGACAAAGATGGCTGCAACGGCATTTGTAGGGAATCAATATGTTAAGCTTTTGGTTTTTATATTGTGCAATGTGTACATTGTGCCTTATCTACATTTTTTAGTTATATCAGTGGCACTTCTTCAGGACAAGCATGTAAAAACTGACATAAACTAAAAAGCTCCTGGCATGTTTGCATCCATCCTTTACATTACTGCCATCTTGTGGTAGTAGTAGATATTTAACTAACAACGTAGGTAATAATATTTTACAATCCATTGGCTAGAAAGGAGAAAGGTAGAAAGATGAAGACATCCATATAGAGTGCAGACAGGCAGGTATTTTTTGATGTGATCCAATTTATTTTGTTAAACTGGTAAATAATGCAGTAAGATGTTTTTGTTTGCATGTTTAGGCAACAGGGTGGAAAATCATCTGTGTCACCGTGTGTCACTGACTTAAGTTGTATCTATATTTTATGTTATATACTCTATATTATATATGTTGAATGGATATATCGTGATTTATAGTTAGATTAATTCCTCTCGAAGATTAATGGTTCATGCTAACACTATGCATCAAGTCTTATGACCTATTGCTCTGCAGTGACCATAAAACTGCAATAGTTAACCAACACTATGTGGTCATAAGTTATTAATTCATTAGTAACAAGTAATTGATTTTGGCTACAAAAATATCCTGCTGGCCATAAATAAGTTGCAATCGGAATTACCTCTAACCATAAATGTGTCCGAAAGATGCCAAAATATCCCTTCTCTCTATATCTTTCTGTTACGCCTTGTCTTTGTCATTGTCTGTCTTTGTCTGCTGCTTGTACAACACCAGGGCTGTACACTCCAGGTTTGCTTGGTTTTTGCTGTGCTGTTCTTGGGTCTAGAAACTCATTAAACTGTTTCAACATTCTCTGCTCTTCTCCAGAGGACAATTTTTCAGTGGTTTTAAATGGTTTTTAAATGGATCTAAAAAGGTGAGTCTTCCTGTGACCAGCTGGACAAAGTCCAGGACAAACCTGGGATAGTTTCTTCTGAGGTTAGCCCTCATTACTGGTTACTTTTGTTTTTTTGTTTTTTTTTAAAAAGGTTTTTATTCCATGGTTTATTCCATATTTATATGCACGGTCTTACCTTTTTTTTCCGCTTCCTGTTCTTTCCTCTCCTGGCGTTAGACTCAGTTACCTTAGTGTGTTTGCAGGCAGCTTGGTCACTGCTCTGGCTGTCGCCTGCAGCAGATACACTACTCTGTAGAACGAGAGGAAGGTTTATCTAAGCAGGTTCCAGAAACATTTAAACAGTATGAAAGATTTTAAAGTGGACATTATGAGACCTATTATGGATTTTTGTCTTTTCCCTTTTCTTTTTTCAATAATTCAAGTCTACAATTCTATCAAAATCGCAGTGTTCCCAATCGTTTCCTTTGCTATATTCAGTGGAATATTCAGTGGCAAGGACATTTCACGACTGGATTTGTGCACAGGTGGCATCCTATTAAGGTACCACACTGGAATTCACTAAAGTCCTGAGAGCAACTCATTCTTTCGTAAATGTTTATAGAAACAGTCAAGCATGCCCTGGTGTCAAATCGTATATACTTGTGGCCATGAAAGTGATAGGAACACCTGAATTCAGTGATTTGGATGGGTGAGTGCATACTTTTGGCCAATTCAGTTCATGTCAATTCAGTTTTATTTCTATAGCACCAAATCACAACAACAGTCACCGCAAGGCGCTTTATATTGTAAGGTAAAGACCATACAATCAGACATCCGTCTTTGAGCAAGCACTTTGGCGACAGTTGGGAAGGAAAAACTCCCTTTTAACAGGAAGAAACCTCCAGCAGAACCAGGATCAGCGACAGGCAGCCATCTGTCATGACCACCTGGGGGTGAGCAGAGGGAGACAAGACAAAAGACATGCTGTAGAAGTGTGCCAGAGATGAATAATAACTCCTAATTAAATGCAGAGTGGTGTATAAAAACATGGTGAGTGAAAAGGGATGAGAGAAGGAGAAACTAATTCCTGGCACACAATGATGTTGGCACTCTTGCTAACTCTAGCTAAAGGATATGATAAAGGCATTGTCCCCACAAAAATATAAAAATCCTTAGGGCTAGTACTGTGTGTGGCCAACGCCAGAGATATGTGGAAACAACCCTGACTCCCCTCCTCCATAAAAAAACATTCCTGCTCATTCCAGTTTTTGCTCACATTTTCCTATTTTTGTGATGAAGTCTACATTCAGTAAGTTTCAGCTACACTGACACTTAAGTATATTTACCTTACAGGGTAGCATCGCATTTCTAGGCACTGACTGAGCCCGACCTTCTGCCTTCAGCTCATCTCTCCTCTTCCTTGCTTTCCTGCCACGCACAAAACTTTGCACCTGAACACAAGAAGACACAATTCATCAAGTATGATTTGTGAATTATATATTGTATATATTGATAAGTATTGATGAGTACAGTTTTTACTGGCTTTTCAAAAAAAATTCAATTTTAGCTCTTAGTATGTTAAATATAGTTTAAGTGATCTGATTCTTTTTTCTTATATGTTGGGCAGTGAAATTTGGTAAAATATGAGCTATAGTTACTAAACATGACAAATAAAACCTAGAAAAGCCCATGAGAAAGAAAAATCACACATCACATTTTCATATACGTGGAAAACAATCAAACTATTTATTATAGTTATAAATTATGTCTGCCTGTACTGGTCACAGTGAGAGTTTACCTGGGGTGCTTTAGTCAGTAGAAGAGCTACTTCTGGGTTGTTGTGTTCTCTGGCCTGGTCCAAAGCTGTTAGACCTGCCTGCAGACACCCAGAGATACAAGTCAAGACAGACAAAACATGAGTCCACCTTCAGCTGGTCACAGTTTCCTCTCCATTCCATGCAGAC